GTTGAGCTATAGGTGCGGAGCCAAGAGGTTGGGATTTTTAATGGGAAGAAAGAAGAAACCAGGCTTGCTGGAGGTTAAGGTGTTATTAAAGGAGGGACCGCTATTTTGAACTGTGGCTTGGCATAAACTTGAAGTCAGTATATTTAGGTCCCTGTGTTGCAATGGAAAATACCTGTAGTAATGTCCTGAGATCTTGGAGATTGCTTTTTATTTTTCTCATTTTCCTATTAGTGATTGTGTTTGATAATTAAATGTAAAGCTAACTCAAGATCCCAAGAGCTACCTTCATCTTAATGGAAGGGTGGTAGAAAAGTCATATTACTTCAGAGGGCTGCTGAACCACAGCTGGTACCTAGTTAGTCCTGCCCACAGTGGGGGATTTTGGCAGTTTGCATTCACGGGAAGCAGGGCTCTTTCCTTTAGTGCGTATTGTTTCTCAGCTTTGAAATGTTAATGAAATTTGAGTCAAGTTTACATTTCAAGAAATGTGGGGCAGATTTGCAGCCAGAAAAAAATATTTTTGTTTTGAGCAACTCTTAGGAACCCTTCTTTGTGTAAAATATTTCTGTTTGGAGAATTGACTTTTGAGGGTCTTAGTAATGGCTCATCTATTTTGATGAATTTCTATTTTCTATTCTGTTTTCAGGAAGGCAGGTGTATAATCACTATCACCATTGACAGGTAGTGGAGTGTCCTCTTGACGCTTGGTAATGTACCAGAATACTTGAAAAGAAAGAACATTTGGTAGATGATTCCTTCTGTACTGCGTTTGAGCTAAGGCAGTGGGTTCTGGACTGTGGTAGGAGTCAGAGCACCAGGAAATCTTGGTGATCTTGATAAATTTTATCATGTGGATTATGATGTAGCACAATTTTATCTAAATTAAATTTACATACACTCATTCTATTGGGATTGTGTTAACGTGTGTGTACCAGTGACGTGACCAATAGTGACTCATAAAATAAAGGCTTTAAAAATATATATATTCATTTATATACAGTATTTCCTGTAACAGTGAGTCTGGAGGGTTGAAATCCACACTGTGTGTGGATGATTCTATTATTCTTCTATCTTTCTATTCTCTTGCTTCTGTCATTTCTTCAGCCTTAGGCAACAGGTTTGCTGTACAGCCAGGAAAAAGAATGAAAGAATGAAGGAGGAAGGGACAGTGTCTGTACATGAACTGTGGCAATGGAGGCTGGTAAATACAGACGTTTAGCTGAGTACCTTGTTTGCCTACACAAAATGAGGGTTCTCTTAGTAAAAAGGGGAGAATGGATCCAAGGTAGGCAATTAGACTGCCACATTTACAAAACAATTTAAAATACATGCTCATGAATTTGTGACATTAATGACCTCGTGTTCTCATAAAACATTGTTGGAATATTTCTCTTCATATTCCTTACTTATTTGTATTCATATTCTTTGCTTATTCTTGACGGCTAGAAAAGAAGTAATCTCAGATATTTAAAGTTTAAGAACTATAAATTGAAAAAAACCCTTAAAATGAAAATAGTTTTCATTGATTTTTTTTCCCTTTGCAAATGAGAAAATAAAATTCTTATTCGACTCTAACGAAAGTACACCTCATTACTGGTGTCTGGGACACCAGTTTTCCTAAGGTACATGGTTTGGAAACCAGTGATATCAATACTATGTGTTATTTGTGTATACCATTAAATTACTTTGTCTTTACTTACATTGATTTCCTAGATAAAAATACTATCTTTTTTATCTTTTAATATTACTCACGTGTTGTAGGCAGTTAAAACATTCTTTATTTTAAAATGTCTTTTCTAAATTCTTTGTAATGATTTTATATTAGTTTTATTATCAGAAGAAAGCTTTGTGGACTTTTCAAGGTTCATGTAAGTCCTCCCTTTTCTGCACAACACCCTATGCTTCAAATCCATTTTTACCTACTACTTCTTGAAACTCCTAGAGCAATCATAGACTGTATGATCACAGACTATGTTGAATTCATCACAAATCATTCCATATGTTAGCAAGATCATATGCTCCCTGTTGTGTATTTTTCTGTGTCCCAAATTCTTAGCACAGTATTAAATACATAGTAGATGCTTACGATCAACTAAATGACCACATTTAACTCATTAATACACATGAAAATAGCATCAGTTTGGTAGTAAGATGGGCATAAAAAATGACTAGTAACCAGAGTGGTCAGAATTTTATGACTTCTACCTTTATTGATGTAGGACCTCTAACTCTGTCATAAATGTCTCCCTCTCAAGTTTGTTCTTGGACTCACCAAAACATGTGTTGTATGGGTTAACTAATGCATTCTAGACACTGCCATATGGTACCTGTCGTCTTCTTCCTATCATGTTTGCTACCCCTGCAGTTACATGTCAGTACCTCCTGCCGGTATCAGAGGTATATTCCTTCCCTGACGCTACTTAATCTCCTTGGCCTTGTGCTGTCCTGCCGGGTGTGCTGCTGATAAGCAGGTGCTGTTGAGATGCCTCCTGCCCTGTCCTCCTCTTGTATATATTCTCCTGTCATGTTAGCATCAAAGCAGAGCTCTTCATATCCTGTCGCTGCAGAGATTTTGGGATTTTAGCCATTATTTAGTTCTTATTGTGGCCTCTCTGTTTCTGTTATGATGGGCTCTTAGGGCCCTCCCAGTGATAGGCACCATCATTACTCTTGTCCAAGGCTTTGTTCGTTGGGCCAAGCTTTTCTGCCTAGAAGATTATTTTCCTGAAATATTTCTTAGTCCCTCATGCAGACAGATGTGTTGAGGTCACCAAACATGTGTGAATCTTGGTGTGGGGAGAGATATCTTAGGGGTTTTTGCTTATAATCCACTACACCTCTAAAATGTGGCACGTAAAAACATTATAGCTCAAAAGAATCTCAAGCCAAGGTGGCAAGTTGTAACTCAGAGCATGATTTTGACTCACAGACAAAATGAAAATGTTGCTTATTCTTGTTTTTTATGTCTGATTGTTTTATAGATTGTAATAGAACCCATTGTGAACTTCAAGCCTAGGAAGAAATTAAAAAGAGAAATGCCCTATGTTTTATTTTCAATCCATGTAGTTCTTATTTCTATGACCCTTACTTGGTTAAGCGTGTAGTTGAGCAGAGATTTTATACATTCTTATCCTCTTTCTCAGGGCAGTTCTTTATTAATATTTAGTTATCTTCCTTGAGCCTGAAGATGTGTAGTTGACAATAATTTGAGCCAGACCCTGTGGAAGTTCCCAGCAGAAGTGCAGATTAAATAGGGAAACCCCCCCAAACTAGGCTTGAACCCCAAGTGCTAAAGCAGGTGATGGAGGGGGAAAGTGAAGTGAGGGATTTTGCAGTTTTTACTGGGAGGTAAGGACAACCAAGAACATAAAGGCTGTAGAGCCAGGGCAAGAAGGAATTAAAAGATGAACTTCTGTACCTGGATTAGTGTGTGAAACAGTGGGAATAACAAAACAGCTGTGTTTTCTCTTGTTTTAACTTCCATTCACGTCTTTTTTTTTTTTTTTTTCAAATGCTTGAACTTCAGAGTTCTGTGAACCTGAGATCATTTAAAGAGAAGAAAACCTTTTTTTGGAAATTCACTAGACAAGACCCTAGTGTGGTGCTTGGTTCACAGTAGTCACTCAGATAAGTGCTGTTGACTGTTGACTTCTTGGGTACTCAGGTAGTAGACTGCCAGCTCCTCAGAGAGTCAGTTACTGGGGGACCTAAGACAACCTTTGCAGAGCAGCACAGGCAGAGAGAGGCTGTGAAATGTCACTGGGACAGTTAACACTGGACATGGAATCTCTTTGCCTTGGTTTACTGAGTCCTGCTTTGCAATCTAGAAATAGAAAACAGTCAGGATTGGAGGATTGCTGGAGAATTGCTCCCTGAGATCTGTTGGCCAAGACATAATTTAGAGATGCAAGAGAACTTGCTGTCTTCCCAGAATCTTTCAGCTTTTGAGTTGCAGAATCAGAAGTTAACTAGGCCTCTCTGCTCCTGACCCATGTGTCCATCATGACGCTGGGGTGAAAAACAGTCATTTGTTTATTTTTAATATGACCACATCGAGTTGTCGAAGCTCTCATTCCCAATGCGGAGGGTAGGAAAATTGCATGCAGTGATTTTCACTCAATTCCATGTGATTGGCAGCTTTACTTCACACTAAACTTGAAGCAATTTATTTGGTTTCCAAGAAACTTTAATTTGATGTTTCCAGAGCAAGACTCAATAGTGTTGGAACGGGAACAAAATGTCCACAGAATTCTGCCTTGTTGATTGACTCTGCTTGCTGCGTAGAGTCAAGTTAAATCAGTCTGTTAGGAGTTTAAGTCGAATAAGAATTTGAATCTCTTTAATTCTGTGTATGTGAATGCTGCATATATACATGGTAACTATTGTATAAAAGTCAAGCTCACTATTCTTTTATTAAAATAGTTTGTCTAGAGTGAATAATGATTACCTGCAATTTATTTTGTGTACTAAAGGAATTAAGATTATTTTCAGTTATTCTTCTTATCCTTAAAAGCAGTTTACTCACTAGAAAAATAACATGCAATGTTAAGTGAGAAATAGTAAGCTTATTACCTTAACATTTTGGTTGGCCAAAGCAGAAGAATTCCATAGATTTACTTTTGGAAATTATGCTAAATCCTGAACTTTTGACTTTTACTTTGGGTTACATTTAGGCGTATTACATAGGATTCTCCTTGGGAAATGAATACTGAACGTTTGTGTCTTATAGAACTTCTTTTTGTGTATTATGTCTTATTACTATACTTGTGAATGGGGCGCCCAACACATTTTAAGGAATTTTTGTTTACATATGTACATTTGGATCCAAAAAGCCAAATATATATGTGAAACGATTTCTTCTTCTTTTGCAGAATTAAATGTGAGGGAGTCTGACGTAAAAGTTTGTGATGAATCATCATGTAAATATGGAGGTGTCTGTAAAGAAGATGGAGATGGTTTGAAATGTGCATGCCAGTTTCAGGTGAGGAAGCCAAGCCTGATTTGAAAAATTGTATATTCTTCGTATTTTATAATTTTGCATTCTTGAAGTTAACAAGCTTAAAACACCTTGAACCCTGTAAGGAAGTTGGGTTCACAGCCCACCAGTTCTTTTTTTGTGAGAAAACCCCTTATGCTTTTTGTACCTTCTATGCTTCTTGCCTGGGATTAAGAGGACAGATTTATAATAATAATCTATGTGAAAATGCTTTGAAAAACGATTAAAGTTCTGTTAAAATGTAAGTATAATTGTCTCTGAAAGGAAAGAAGGTACAGGTTGCAGTAGAGTCTCTTATTTAAAATGTTGGCATCTTTTTTCCTTTTCTTCTCCTTCTAGTCTGTCTCTTTCCCTTCCATTCTTATTTGTTGCTGCTTCATCTCTTCAGGCCAAAGAACTTGACTGACTTGGAGCCTCAGGTAAGTCGTCAAGGTTAGAGATGGAATAGAAGGTGGAACCTCAAACCGAGAGTATGAATATCTTTGTTTTTCAGATGCTCTTTTAGTTTTGCTTCTGTCGTCTTAGAAAGTTAAAGAAGGGGAGTGAAGGGTGTTACATTCCATTCTTCCTTTTTGTTTATTTTCTATGATTAAATTACAATCTGGCCTCAGAAGGTCTCTCACGAGGTATGGCCTCTAATTCAGGATTTAAGATGAGACATAGAAGGAAGTAGAATTTTTTCCCTTATGATTTTGTTCTAAATGTACCTACCGTTTTGGATTTTGAGGGGAGGAAAGGGTATAGAAATCACAAATGAAAGCATACAGGAATTAATAATATTTCTGATAACCCTATGACCCTGGGCAAGTTTCTGTATGATCTCTGCATCGTATTCCATCTGAAAAGTGAAGGCACATTTCCTCCCATTGTTATAAGATTGTAATGAGAATCAAAGTCAGAATGAGCGCTTGCGTATGAAACCTCTTTGAAAACTATAAATCATTATGTTTATTTGTATTAAAAGAAGTGGAGAATTTAAGTAAAGGAGGAAAGGTAGGTGGCCATACTGTTGTCCAACCAGACAAGTTTATGGTTGCAAAGGACTTGACATTCAATTATGCCGTATGATAGGAGGGTTTCTTGGGGGCATTTTTACAATAGTCACCGTCTGCCAAGCTTGCTTAGGTGGCTTTTGGCTGGCTTCAGATCTCTGCTGCCTTTTGGCTCGAGGTATCACTTCTTTACCTTGAGTGCCTTTCTTTTTTTTTTTTTTTGAGACAGAGCCTCAAGCTGTCCCCCTGGGTAGAGTGCCATGGCATTACAGCTCACAGCAACCTCTAATGCCTGGGCTCAAGCGAGTCTCTTGCCTCCGCCTCCCAAGTAGCTGGGACCACAGGCGCCCGCCACAACGCCCGGCTATTTTTTGGTTGCAGCCGTCATTGTTGTTTGGCGGGTCCGGGCTGGGGATTCGAACCCGCCACCTTAGGTGTACGTGGCTGGCGCCTTAGCCGGTTGAGCTATAGGCGCCGAGCCACCTTGAGTGCCTTTCTACAGGGCTCCTTGCAAACAGGGAAGCTGGCTTTCCCCCAAATGAGATGAGAAGTCAGTGAAAATTCGAACTGTTTTTCCCCTGTGTGTAATGTGTCATTTTTCTCCAACTGCATTTGACTATGAAGTTCTTCGGCATAGTTTTAATTTATCTTGTTTGGGGTTGGCTGAGCTTCTAGTGTATACATGTATGTTAGTCATTAAGTTGGGGAAATATTTTGTCAATATTTCTTGAAACATTTTTTTCTGCCCACCTCTCTTCTAATCTGAGACTCCAGTGATGTATGTTAGACCTTTTGATGCTGTCCCAAGGTCTCTGAGGGTCCTTTCATTTTTTTCTTCTCAATTTCTCTTTTCTGTCTGTTCTTCATGTTAAATAATTTTTATTTACCTATTTTCAAGTTCACTAGCCCTTTCTTCTTTCATCTGTCTTCTTCCCATCTAGAGTTTTTCATTTCAAAATTTTTATTTCTAGAATTTATAGTTTCTATTTATTGGTTGAGATTTCCTATCTTTTCATTCATTACATGCATATTTTCCTTAGCATAGATGTTAACTGCTGCTTTAAAATCTTTGTCTGCTAATGTCAGACTTGGTGAGGGGGACAATTCGGGAGAACGGATCATATTTTCCTTTTCATATTAATTTTAAATTTATCCTATACTTTGTGATTAATATGTTTTAGAGTATCTGAATTCTGTTATTTCCTTTGATGAATATTATTTTGAAATAGTAAATTGGGGGTGGCACCTGTGGCTCAAGAAGTAGGGCGCAGGCCTCATATACTAGGGGTGGCAGGTTCAAGCCTGGCCATGGCCAAAATTGTAAAAAAAAAAAGAAACAGTAAATTGGCTGAACTCAAATGTCTTCTCTGGGTGGGCAGCAACACAAATATCAGTTCATTCCTTTCAGTCCTTGGGGACGCTGCTCCGATCTGTTCCATGTGTGGTTAAAGGGTCAGCCAGAAGTTTGCTTTGAGTTTATACACAGAACTTTCTGAGATTTCCCTCAGACTTTCCCAGTGGCTGCGGTTGCCCTGAATTCTGTCTTTTGGTTTGTCAAACCTGAAAGATTGTGAGTTTTTTGTTGGAGATTTAGCAGCTTGCAAGGGGAAGACTGGGCTTGTTCCCCTCTCCAACTGCCTCAAGCTTTTCTTTAGGTAAAATTCCTTGATGTGGAATTGTTGGGCCAATGGATGCTCATAGGATGTGCAGATGAACATTCTCATCAATAGCAATGTATCAGACTGTTTCTCCGTCCCCTCTTGTTAGCAGATTTTAGCTATTCTTTTAATCTTTTTAAAAAAATTTTTATGGGTGGTGCCTGTGGCTCAGTGAGTAGGATGTCAACCCCATATACCAAGGGTGGTGAGTTCAAACCCAGCCCTGGCCAAACTGCAACAACAACAACAACAACAAAAAAAATAGTTTAAAAATTTTTTTATTTCAGATTAATATAAGGTTACAAACAATTAGATTACATTGTATTTGTCAAGCAAAGGCCACGTCGTCGTAGTTGAGTCCTTTGCTTGGGGTGTGCTGCGTACCCTTTACATTTGGAGTTGAAGAACATTTTCTAGTAAAGTATTAGAAGAAAGGGCTTGGCACCCGTAGCTCAGGGGTTAGGGTACTGGCCATATACCCTGGCGTTTGGGCCTGTTAAATGGCGATGACAACTACAACCAAAAAATAGCCAGGCATTGTGGCAGACGCCTGTAGTCCCAGCTACTTGGGAGGCTGAGGTGAGAGAATCCCTTAAGCCCAAGAGTTTGAGGTTGCTGTGAGCTGTGACACCATGGTGCTTTACTGAGGGTGACATAATGAGAGTCTTTAAAAAAAAAAATTATCAGAAGAATGGAAAAGCAAGTATCCAGTGTATTCAGTACTGATATAAAACCAATGGGAAATTAACTACATGCCCACATAAAAGGAAAACAATTAAATTCAAATAAGAGGTCGGGGGGAGGAGAGAGAAAGGGCAGGGGAAGGAGGTGGGGAAGGAAATAAGCTCTCCCCTAATGGGCACAGTATAAGGGTATTTAGCTATCCTTTTACATTTAATAATAAATCTGAATAGTAGAACTTTTCAATTTGCCTTTGATTACTAGAGCAATTGCAAATGTACTATGTATTTACCTTTTTTTGGTGAATTAATATTTTATATTCTTTGCCTATTTTTGGAGTATTTTCTTTTTTTTTTTTTTTTTTTTTTGCCCTTCAGACCGTTTTATTTTATATCCATTTAAAATATCATCCAACAAAGGACAATGAAGTTTACATCAGGGGCAGGTATACATAACTCGAGGCATTTGTAGTCCATCATGCCCATTGAATAACAACTTTGCTGCTGAAATTTCTTAAAACTTACCAAACTAAAACAAAAGGCTGAGTGATACAAACGGAGAAGTATTTCCATATAATCTGTCAACTGGCTTTTTTAAAAAAGGAAACATGTTCTGTTTCCCCAGACCAGTAAATAAGCAAGAGCTACGTGTAGCAATGTGAGTATTAAGACATTTCTCAAGTCTTCTCAAAGGAGTCCAAGGTGGGGATGGGATGGGGGAGAAAATTGATAGAAAAACATTGCTATAGACACCATAACAAACAATAAATTTAGATAATTTAAAATTAAAAAAAGGCAAGAGACAGCATTTCAGCAGCAAAGTGCTCAATAAAAAGTAAATTGTAGAGGGTAATACAAGAAAGTTGGGGTAATAAGAGGGCAGAAAAATGGGTCAGCAGGATGGGCAAAGGCCTCAAAGGAAATATGGCGTTGTCATTTTGGGAGGAATAACACGTTCTGAATCTGGAACTGCCCGGAATAACTTTGGTTCTCTTGTATTTACATCTTTGAAGACCATGATCGAAGCAGTATTTCCACAACGATAGCAGTAATTAGGAGCAGACCATACTGTCACCAGCTTCTCATCAAACATAAATTTATAGCCTTCGTGCACTAGTTGATGTGCTCGGCAGATGAGTTTTAAGTTGTTGATACAGACAAACTCATTTGTGACCTTTGCTCCAAAAAGCCAACCTGC